CGTTTCTAATTCTCACGCCGGAGGTACAACGGGGGAGAAAGCCCCAACCTCTTTTTGCAGGTAACAACCACCATCTAGAGCTACCGGACCACCGCATTCATCAAGTCGAACACGGAGGTCTACCTTGCTACTATTTCAGTGAACTAACAATAAGCCTCGGTTTGAAACCAGTACTGATAGGGTTTGGTCGAGAACTCTGACAACAATTTTTGACATTGGGATGGACAAAAATGTATTGGAGATGCTGAGAGGAAGAGAAAAATGAAACTTCAGTCCTACAGTACAATGTTACAGTCAATATTAGAATGATAAATTTTGTCAACAATCTTTCTTTTATAAACTTGATGTTAATCAAAGAATCAATTCTGCGAGTTCATATCCGACAAACCATAAGTAAGGAGAGGGGGGGAAGAACATAAACGGCTCGCATAGCGTATAGGAGCCATTCCCTCATCCAGGTTGAATAAAACTGCTACTGAGGTACACTTAGGCAACTGTTTAAAAAGTGACTCCAAAGCCAATGAATGCAAGACACTAAACTAATGAATAAAACATGATACTATAACAGAATCAGTTACAAGCTAGAGAATAAAAGGTTGTCATCCGTTATTTTTCCTAAATGACCCCATAGCCCTATAGACAATGAGGAATATTTATAAATACTTCCGTCTAAGAGAAGANTAAATGACCCCATTGCCCTATAGCCATTGAGGAAAATTTATAAATACTTCCGTCTAAGAGAAGAAAAGTCATGCAAATTTAAATTTTCACTCTCAAATAGTCATTTCTTATCTTGCTCTGGTTTGAATATTAAAACTAATGAATTTAGGAGGTAGAAATCTTGGCTAGGTGAGAAGAGTTTGTTGAACCGATTTCTATCATCAATAAATTGACAACGTCTATAAGAAACTTGAGCAAAGTAAACCACAAAATTCTCTGTTGTGACTAAGAAATTCTTGAGATCTGAAAGTGAAGGGGGGAAATTTGGGTTTGGGTGTTGATTTAGGATCAGAGCCTCTAGTGCAATTTGTGAAATGGGGGAGTGGGATAAGAGTTTTTGTGATCAATTATTTTGATAATTGACACCAATTTATAATATGTAGCTAATAAAATGGATAATTTATGATCAATAAATAATATGTGATCTAAGAAAATGTGTAATTGCAACTAATTTGTATTTGTCACTCACAATTTATATCTTTGAGATCGTAACATTATGCAATTTGTGACATATTAGACACAATATTTTTCAAAAATAAAAATTATCTTCATAAAATTAGTAATTTTTTCATTTATTCGAGAAATTAGTTCTAAAGAGACATATACTTGTGTTTGGCCAATGGTATTTTG